GAGTTATTTGAGTTCAAAAAAACTATGCAGTTTAGGGATGTTAAATAAAATGATTAATCTTAACGTTAATTTATTTTTTTAGATATTAAGTTTAACTAAAAAAAAATGGTATATACCATTGTCAGATAATTTTCTTCGTTTTATTTCATCTTAGAAATATATGTAGCACCGTAAATAAGCTTAGTAATACGTTAAGATCGATGAAATAATCAACATTAAACTTAAACCTACTATAATCATTTTCATTTGGTAAAAATTCGATAGAGTGTTTTTTTGAAGTTGATAGGTTTATCGTTGAATTTAGATTGTTGACGCTTTTAAATTGCTCAGAACTGTGCATTTATTTAAATTAGAAAAATCGGTATTATTCTCAAATTCTCAATATTCAATTTGTAAAAAGGATAATGAACTTAATTACTTACATAATATTAAATGAGACACTGCAAATGTTTTGAAAAAAATTTATAGAGCATAATGTAAAAGAACTAGAACCTTGAAATAAATCTAAAAGCATAGAGTCTATAGTAGGATTTAATAATTTGCTGTGAGTTTTAGAATGAGGATGCATATATTTAACAAGAAATTTCCCGGCACTAAGTAATTCTTGTCGTTTATTTTCAGCTTCTTTTATATAACATTTATTTTCATCCCAATATGCAGAATTTACTTCATCATATATTTCGTCAATAGTTGGTCTTTTTAAGGGATTCGAATGCCAACATTTCTGCATCAAAATAGCCCAACATTGTGGAGTATCTTTTGTGATATTTGGACGAAACATTTTAGCACATATGTCAAGTGCAAGATATGAGTCATATGCACGATCACAGAAAGGGCGACACCCCGTTGTAAGTTCCCACATAATCATCCCTAAACTGTAAATATCTGAACTAAATGAATATTGTTTTTTGTTAAGCACTTCAGGTGCAACATATGGTATATTTTAGGTTCTGAACTATCTAAATCATCATTTGCTGGCCAACTAAACCCTAAATCTGCAATTGATGTTCTAGAATCAGGACCATACCATTTCAAATTACCTATTAATATATTTCCATCGTGTATATCGCGGTGTACAATTTTATTTTTATGAATCCATTTAATGCCTATAACAATATCCCTAAGAAAGTCTAGTTTCATTTTCCATGTAACATCCTTAAAATTATTAGATAAATAATCATTTAGACTTCCATTAGACATATAAGACATAACAAATATATAATCATTTGAAAGCTTTTCGAAAAATTTTGTCATTTTGGAATTATTTGGTCTACTGTAACTGATACTTAATATGT